CGGTAAACTCTCCTCTCTTGCTCTGCATCAAGATGCTCCAGGTCACGCTCCCTCCTTTCTACCTCCTCAAGGGGCTCCAGTTCCCGGGACACGCGATGGACCTTCACCGCGGCTTCTGCTGCCGCTACATCGGTCTCTCGGGCCCTCTCGATGCTCACCAGCTCACGTTGCCTCCTTCCATCGATTTCGGCCTCACGTGCTTCAAAGTAACGTCTCTCGCGTCTCTCTCTCTGGTTAGCCATGGCACCTCGCTCTTCCCTTTCACGTGTCTGGTGGCTTCTACTCTCATACACCTCCAGGTCCAGCTCCTGTTGGTGTTCAGTCCTCCTCTCCTGCACTATATCTTTTCTCCTTCTATTATCTGTTTTTTCCCACTCCTGAGTCTTACGTATTTTACTCTCATTTTCCACATACTCAAGCTTATGTTCCCTATTGTTATCTTTTTCATTGATATCTCTTTCTATCTCACATGTCTTATTGTACGTGAGGTCAATTTCTAGTGGTTCCTTTATGTATGACTGATATGGGCCTCTCGAATCCAGGCGTTCAGGCTCACTCTGATCGTGGCTGCTCTCTTCAGATGCTCTTTGTTCCAGCTCATTGCGGTGTTGGCGGCTTCTCTCTTCTGTGAGTAATTCAAATGTACGTGGCTGATTGTGACTGCCTCTATCTGCTTCTTGTGGGCGCTGGTTTCTGTTATTGTTTGCTGGTCCTACTGGCTCATGTGGCTGACGGCTATCCCACCGGTTTTGTAGTGGTCTTGTTTCACAGGTCTTGCTGCAACTCCTCATGTCTGCCAGTTGGTCTTGCTGTGGCCTCTCTTTATCTTGCCTCTCATCTCTCCACAGCCTGGGCTCATGTGCTTCCAATCTTCTGTGCTTGCGGACTTGCGCATCTCCTTGTCTGTTCAGCTCTGGTGGTTGACGTCTTCTCAGGCTGTTCCATTGGTCACATGGCTCTTGGCTTCGTTCTTCATATACCTGAGGGGTTGGCTCCCTTTGCTCACTGCTTCGTTTTGCATCCTTTCTGCTTTGTGTGTTACATTGCTGGTAACTCCCTGTTTCCTCTAGTGTTTCCAGCTCGACCCTGGTGTCTCGTTGCAGCTCAGGTTCACAGGGGGGATGGTGATCACTCTCACAGGTTTGTTCTTCTTCCTCCTGGAGTTGTCGACTGCTCCCTCTGTTCTTAATTTCAGGCTCTCGGTGCAACTTGCCACTGGATGTCAGCTTTGTTCTTTGTAGAAGGTATGGTCCCTTCGACTGGTACCAGTAGCAGGCTTTAGCCACTCTGAACACCAAAAGCAGGAATTCATTAAAATCAATTTGCCCATCACCATCCCACTCCAGAAACTGCAGAATCTTGTCAACTGTCTGAGGGTCACGTGGCTTCTGCAGGGAAAACACACACAGGGAAACAAAAAAGTGCTTTAGCTTTCCTCCTCCTTGTCAGAGAAATGCAAAGACAGGGACAACTGCAATTTTTTCTCCTTCCATCTCTCATAGCTTTACTTTTACAGCTCAGCAGCAATTCCATGTCTTTATTCTGCATTTTCCTGGGTGTTCACTGGCTGCAGCTGCCCAGTTTTCTTTGAGCACATGCTGAATCCCTCTACTGGATGCATTTCCTTCCTACCTTGGAAAGAAAACCATACCTCCCCATGAGTCATTCTCCAGCTTTTGCCCATTTTCTTATGGAAAAATGAGTTGGAGGAGTTGTCAAAGCAGTCAGTGCAAAGGAACATAACTGCTGCTCCCCTTTGCTGAAAGCCTTCCCACCCCACCATCATAACAACCACCTCCTATTCAGAAAGAGATTTTTGCAGTCCCTGCACTCCAGTCTGGGCCTCAAGCCCTCCCCCTTGCAGCAGTACTCACAGCTATGACATCTGCAAACTCCGTCTGTATGAATTCTTGCATCTTCCTTCGGCTGATGTTGAAGCTGCCTCCATCTTCCTTTGCATGTTTGTGAAAGACGCTGATGATGGTGGAAATACTGTCTAAGAAGCGAGACATCTTCCTGCAGATTCAAGCAAGCCTGCAAGAAAAGGAGCAGACCTAAAGATTTGTGATTTGTTTGACTCTGAGCATGAAAAGAGGAAGGAGAATTGATGGGGTCAGGCTGCACACATTAATGGAATGCTGGGTGCCATGACCTATGTGTCTGCTCCTGTGCCATGGTGAGCTCTGTTTCACCAGGGCACTGGGAAGAAATCCAAGTGCTATGGGGTTTTAGTGGGATGGGGAGTGTCCTCCAAGTTGTGTACTAGCGTATTTGAATGACGTTTGATAGGGGATGGCAGGATACCTGCATTTATGGATCACAGGGAGGGAACTAGGGATGGTGACTCAAGAGATGCCCCAAGAACCTGCCTTCACCTGTGGAGCTATACTACGTACTTGTGTTTCCAGGGCCCATGCTGCTGTCTCTGCCTGGCACTGAGCTACAATGGCTTCTGTGAAGCAGGCTAGAGGCTTGGCATGGCCTCAGACAAGATCTAGCTAGGTCAAAGACAGGTAGAGTGCTTACAGGGAGTTAAAACAAGCCCTGTGGCTGATGCTTCTGTGACCAGTAGTAATATAAAATGATTGATAAAGCTTTCATTACAGCATCAGTTATTGGCAGATAGATTTTTGTCAGATCACCAGGTCATAGCTACTTATTTAATTTTACTGAGATTTGCTTGGCAGAAAGCAGTGCTCCTGTTGGAGCTTTGTGTCTGGGAACCTCAAAAGCCATCTTATTCCTTCCTCCTTGCAGGATCCCCAAGCCTGTTATCAGTGCTGAGATCTCAGCTTGCAGCTGGAGAAGCTGTGACCTGTCTGCCTTGCCATGTCTCCAACGTGTGCATACGCATGCACATGGGTGCACACATCTGCATATGAAATCCTGTACAGAACAGGAAAATTTCTCCAATCTGTTCATTCTAGCTGGGAGCTGACTCCAGACCAAAGTAAGGCACAAAACCTGGCTCCCTCTTTCATTTTCTCTTTGAGAAAAGCTGCCTCTAGATGTGGCCACATAACGACATCATGCAAATGTCCCAATAACACAAAACAACACTTCAATGAACATAAATGCAAAAGACTCAGAAAATACTGCAGCAGGAGTGACGCTGCCACCCAATACAAATCCTATAGAAACAATATGTCCTTGCCCAGCAAAGGGTATGTTTCAGAAGGAGTGACTTACCCAGATCACCAATGGGATCAAGTGGGATTCCTGTGAAGCCGTGCAGAGTGATCGGAGGACCTGAGTGCTTTTATAGGGTCCTTGATGGAGCTATGGAAAGGAGACACCCTTTGTGGACGTTGTCCTGATTCATCTTTGGCCAAGCCCAGCTGCACCTTCACGTCCTCAAACGGGTTATTTAACTTATCATCCCCTTACCTATCATTTTAACCCAGAAATAGCAGTTGCCATGTGGCAATTCAGGCACTGGCTGGTTCCACCTCATCCAGGCTGTAAAGTTATTTTACAAGCTGATTGTATTTCAGATTTTAAAGAATGTAGAGTAGCTATAAAACATATACATGCATGAATGGGAGGGTGCATTTTAATATAAGTGTGCATCTGTATAGGTATGTCTTTATATATGTACTATGCATACACACACAGAAATACCACCGGGATGAAATTTTGAGGATGGCACAGAAGTGCTGATGATAGCAGAGCTCACTATGAGCAGAATAGGGACAGTTGAGATCTCTATGGCCCATGAGCTTAATACCACAATACCAGAGATTATTTTTGTTTGCTTTTTGTGCAGTTCCCTTAGCACCCTGGGCCTGAGGTCAATGGGATTTTTGTCTGGCTTTTGCTCACAGAAGGACAGAAGAAGACCTAAGTGCTACAAAAATGGTGAAGTGCAGGTGAACAGCAGTGAGATCCCCAAATCCTCCAGATCTTGGCTTGTGTGGGGCCATTGTAGAGTGTTTTATTTTTGGTAAGTTAGGAGCTTCTTATTCTTATATTTTATATTCTTCTTCTTATATTATGTTGTATTATCCAGGTTTTTGTTGGAAAAAACCCAAACCCAAACAGAATATTTTTAAGTGCTAAAGTTTGCAAAAGGAATTTTCATACAAGGAAATGTCTGTTCAATAAGCAGTGACTTCACATTGACAAAAATAATGGAAAAACATTTTTCATATTCGCTGTCCTCCACAAATTACTTTCATTTCATCTTTGCTTGATCTTCCATTAAAAATAAAAGTAGAAACTTGTCTGCTGAGAGGTCGATTCATGTTGAATCTTCATCTGTTGCCCTAGGCACCTTTTACTGTAATTGTCTCTATAATCTACTTGAAAAAAAATAATCTTTTAACACTAAATTAATTAGAGACCAACTGATTCCTTTATTCACCCTGATCTCTCCCAGTACGGTGAGCAAATAAGGAAGACACCAGCCATGCCACCTGGGCCTCTGCTGTTGGTTTTGGAGGTAGGATGCTGCTTTGACAAGCATGACAGAGACATTGCAGAGAGCCTTTAGAGCATGAACTTGTCACGCAGCCTTGGGTGAGTGGCTCATCTGTAAGGCAAGATCATACTGGGTGTAGGAGCCTAATTAATTAGTGCTGGTAACACATTTGGGATACTCATACAAGTGCGTATGAAGGATTGTTACTAACCATACTTCATTTTTGAGCTTTTTTTCAAGATTAAATTATACTTGTGCAAATTATACCCCACCTGTGGGATAATAATACCCTTGGGAAACTGTAATTTCATGGTAGATTGGAGTTATTATTAAAATTAGAGAATTAAAGTGTGGCTTAGTGTCCTGTAACAGTCTGTAATCCCCCACAAGGGCTGGGGCAGCATGGGATGATCGGGTGCCATGTCAGCCACATGGAAGATTCTAGCTGTCAATGCAGGAAAAGGTACATTGTGTTTCATGCTCTCCTGCTTTCCCATGCTTTGCTGCTATTCCGAGGACAAAGCAACAAGTTTCAAAGCACGTTCTTGGCAGAGCTGAAACTCTGTTTCAAGGGTTTGGTTTTCCCCAGAGATACTTTCATAAGATGGGACTTGGGAAGGGTTTTAAAAGCTGACAGCCAAGAGGGTGGGCTCCATCCTCCTGCTTCTTACTCAGTTCTGTGCCCATCGCCATTTATACAGGGTGACCAAACTTCTATTGCATTTAATCTTAGAGGAACTAGGCTCCTCATATGATGTATAAATGACCTTTTTTCTTCCAACTTCTCCTTGGCTTGCAAGTATCTTAGGCAGGTATGTGTGTCAGTGAGACAATTTTTATGTTCTCCTTCAAATGAACCAAAAAAACCCTCTTAATTTCAAATGTGATACTCCTGATGGCAAAAGTTGCGTTATTCAGAATAGAGCATATAATTAACATGTACCTAACAGGGCTTGGTGTCTGCCTGAACTGGGAGGTCAGTCTTTTTATTGATGCTGCAGAAGGTGGCAGCTGGACAGACAGACTACGGGGGATGGTTTGGTCTGGTGATTTTAGACCTTAAGCCAGTGCTAATGAGAAGAAAAGAGCTATTGGACTGAGACCTGTTTTAGAAGAAAAATGGTGTTCTCTGGAAAACGATGTTTTGAGGAATGTCTCAGATGAAATGGGGTTTTGACAGATAGGTGATGGAATTTAAGTCTTGACTCTCCCATTGCATGTCCAGAGCTGCCACGAAGTAGCTCTGAACATATTATCGCTACTTTGTTTTCTCAGTAGAACAGCAGACTGATGTACTTTGTGTCTAATACTTCTAATTTTTATATTAGCACACTTTTAAGCCAGGTGGTTTTGTGGGTGACCATTCTGGGGGTAGTTTTGGAATGCTGTTTTTTCTGATTCAACACTCAGCAAATTGTGAAATTCTGGGGTGGCCCAGAGGAATGACGTTTTATTTCCCAGTGAGGTCTCTGCGTGCTGCTTGTCACCAACCACAGAGCAGGAGGTGCGGGTGCATTTATCATGTGCTGATTTGGTGATAGGTCACAAGTGAAAGATAACATGGTGAAAAACAGGCTGAGCATTACCCTCCCTGTGGGATCCTGAGCCCTGGGCCTGCCTGGTGGTCCAGCACGTCTGAACCCCCTAATAAACCCCTCTGACTTCACCAGACTGCTCATGCCCTCAGAGTTGCTCACATTCCAATGTGTATGTTCGGACAAGTGCCTGAGGATCTGGTACCCTGAATTGAATCTGAGTTTGAGATTGGCTCTGTTTGTGCATAGTTTTGCTTGTCAGCTTTTTATTTCTGGCCTCCCAGTTGTTGTTGGGGCTGGATGTACCTGAATCATCATTTTTGTTGTGTGTAATATGTCTCCACACTTTTCATTGGAGAATTCCATAGCTGATAGGGATTTTTGATCTTCATAGCATGCTCCACATTCCCCTTGCTTCTGAGATAATTAATAAGTGAAGATGAATAGGACAAATCCCTCCCATTCAGTTGTAAGCAGCTGTTTGTTTTTCTCACAGCAGACATGAAAACCTCCCAGAGCAGATGGATGCTGTGAGGAGTCCGTTCAGGTCGGCTGCGCTGTTGTGTCAACCCAGACTTCTCCCCCCCGAAGATATCTTTCCCAGGGATGTCGCATCCCTGCCTGCAGGGACCAATCCATTAACCTCAGCTAAATTGCAAAGGCAGCTCAGCAGCAGCTCCTTGAGGCTATCCACCCCCAGGACACACCTGCCTCTCTGCAGCCATCCCTCCATTTGCACCCTGGAGCAATCTGGCTGTATGTCGTGTGAGGGATGGACACCCAGGTCCTCTGCACCACATCATGTTTGCTCAGAGCCAGGCTGAGGGCACACCTGCAGTGACACACCAGAACACTGTGCTGGTTTGCCTTCAGTTTTATTGCTTTGCTTACACAGGCAGAGGTAGCTTGACACAGGGTAAGAGTGAAGGTCTCTAATCATGCATAGCTCAGTACAAACCAGGGTAGGGAAGCTCAGGGCTAAAATGGAATTGGACAAGACATGACAAGCAGAAATGAGAAAACCAGGATAGGTTGGGCAAAGATTACCTCCTTGCAGGGAGCAACAGCCTCACTTAGAAGGAGGCTTGTTTCAGCCTTTACTGCTCTGGTGGCCACTGATACAGAGATTCCAGGAGCTGTTGCTCTATAGCAGGTTGTTTTTTGTGATGAGTGTCGTGTTGCTGTTGTGCTGGACAAGATGGAGCCTCTGCCCCACTGTGTTCCTGCTCCAGCACTTTGGGTTCAGAGTGCTGATGGTAGTAAGCTGGGTCCTGCTGTGCAGACTCTCTTTGAACTCTGAGGGTGGTTTGAACCCTGTGCTGGTGCCTCAGTTTCTTGGGCCTGGTGGATTTTGAGGTCCTGGTTTGGTGTCTCAGTATCTTCCTCCTTATAGGTATTTCTGTCTTGCTCAGGGGTTGCAGTGTCCAGGATTTCACTTCTCTCTGGATCCCTTTCTGGTGCTTCAGTCTCATCATCCTGATGGGTGTCCTTGTCCTGCTCTGGTGTCTCACCCTCCTTAGTTTGATGGGTTGCCTGGTCCTGCTTTGATGTCTCACTCTCCTGGCCTTGATGGGTGTCATGGTCCTGCTTTGATGTCTCACCTTCCTGGGCTTGATGGGTGTCATAGTCCTGTTCTGGTGGCTCAGCCTCCTGGGTCTGATGGGTGTTGTGGTCCTGCTCTGGTGTCTCACCCTCCTGGGTTTGGTGGGTGTCCCCATCCTGCCCTGGTGTCTGACTCTCCAGGGTTTCATGGGTATCCTGGTCCTGCTTTGATGTCTCACTCTCCTGGGTTCGATGGTTGTCTGGGTCCTGTGTCTCAGTGTCCTCAACCTGATTGTCCACACCCTGCTCAGGGACCTGCCAGTTGTGACTGGCTGTGCATGGCTCCAATGGCTCCTCCCAACTTGCCTTTTCTTGTGCTGTCACCTCTTGACCATCTTCTGGTGCCTGGTGCTGCTGGAGTGGCTTGTAACAAGTCTTGGCCACATGGAAAACCAGGCTGAGCAACTTGCTGAAGTCAACCCTGCAGTTACTGTCATCATCCAGGAAGCACATAATCTTCTTGATGGTTTGGGGGTCCTGAGGGTTCTGTAAAGACATAAATGATGTTGGAAATCCTGTGAGCTATTTGCACCATCTCTCTAGGAGCACTCGATCAGTCTCAGGGTAGAAATCCTGCCCCATGCCCCCAAACCTGGTGGCTCATTTGCTCCCTGCACTGAGGTCTATGAGCTACTGGCACTGGGAGAAAGAACAGCTTCTCCTCTTCCCTGCAGATCCTGGGAACTGAAGGCATCTGTGCCTATCCAAGGGAGCCAGGGGTCCTGTACACCTTCATGTGAGTGAATGGCTTTACAAACCCCACTGTACCACTGATCCCAGCCCAAGGACATACCAGTGGTGGATCCCAACTACAGGGCTGGATCCTCACCTCTGTCATGTCCCCAAACTCCTGCTCAAAGAGCTGCCTCAGCTCCTCGCTGTTCAGGGGGCTGCAGTTGCTGTCGCTTCTGGTGCACATGTAGAAAGCAGCAATGATGCCATTGATGTTTTCCTGCAGCTGGGCCATCTCCCTGGAAAATTGAGGCAACTTGCAAGAAAAAACAGACAAAAAGGGGTTTGTTCATTTGTTTGTTTTTCACATAAGTTACTCTTAACCAATGCAGCTGAACAGCTAGAAAGAGGAAAAGGAGACAAAGGCACAGATGAAATGGAACAGTGTAAGAGAAAAGAGAGAGCAAGAATGATCTCACAGGAAAACAAATCTGACAAATGAAACTCAGCTGCAGAGATGGTGAGGGGTGTGGACCAGCAAGTGATGGTTGGAAAGGTGAAGGACAGTGAGACACAAAAGGCTGGGGCCACACAGTAAGAGAGGAGGGAAAAGAAAAAATTCCATTTATCTGGAGCAGAGCAGAGCTGTGATTGGAAGTTGTCTCTAACAATCCATGGAATAGTGTAATTCCAGATCTCATTCTTATTTTTATCCTCTAGGAGATCTCTGCATTGGCAGCTCCAGGGACATCCTTTTGGCCAGAAGCTTCTGCTTTCCTGCTGGTAGCAAAGTCAGAGAGTGTAAAAAGCCTGTCCAAGCTTACCTGGGCAAGGAGCAGGAGTGCTGAGCTTCAGGAGCACAATCTGGAGCAGATCAGCTCTTGGCCATCTTATATAGAGTTCAGAATCATAGCCCGCATCTTCCAGAGGAGACACCCCTTCAGCAAGGTGACCTGAAACATCTTCCATCCAATTACATTGTCATACCCATGTATTAATTTGTCTCTTTCTCATTAACTTTGGCTCTGATGCTTTTCTCTGTTGTAAATGCAAGATCTTTCCTAAGCTTGCCCCACCTGCAGACGTATTTCAGAGGAATTTAACAGAAAAGGCTATTTTTACCACTGGGTGATTTAGTTTAAGCTGATGCCCAAGCAACGCCTGTGACTCTTGTGTTTGGCAAATGTGTTGTGTGAAAAGGAGGTCTCCAGTGACTGACACACAGGGGAGGAGACGGTCTGGGAGTGCTCGCAGGGTGAATAGAGAGAAAAGAAAACGAAGGAAAATGAGGATATTGTGATGCTAAGATTAAAGGGATTCCTTCCAGAAACTCCCTCTTTTGGATCGCGACGGGAGGTAGGCATCGAGCAAAGAAATCTTTTCAAACAGTGCCACCAAGTGGCACTTGGAGTAGGACAAGGGGTGACATGGCACGTCCCAGAGCCAGCGAGCAGCTGGGGACTGTGGGCATGGTGGACAGCAATCACCCATTACCCAGAAGGGGAAACTGAGGCACATGGCAAGGAAGGGACTTAAACTCCTCGTGCTGTGTCCAGCATCAGTCCCTGCTGCAACTCAGTGGGTGACGCTATCATACTGGGGCCTAGTGGCTTAACTGGAAGCCCCAAAGACCTAAATAAAAGTTATTCCTGTTTGCTCAGGAAAGTCAATTTTATTTTGCTCCTATACTGCTCCAAATGCAGTGTGACCTGAGAACTGTTTTCTAAGCCCTTTGAGTCAGACTTTAAGGTGTTTTCACTTTAGCTTTCTACTTTTGAAGTCCTTCTTTTGGCTAACATGTGGTTAATAAGAAAGACTGGAAAAAAATTATATCAGAAATCCATGTAGCTTTTAAAGTACAAGGAGTTTTGGGCACAGAAAATAAAATATATCCAGTTTTGTACTGAAAAAAAAAACCAAACAATCCACTTTCTGGAAAATATCCTGGTTTGTTCCATGCCTGGCAGGGGAAAGGTTAATGGGTCCCACTTTGTTCATGTGAAATCCTTAAGGTGTACATAGAAGAGCTTGGAGAGGATAAATATGGGAGGCTGCAGGATCAGGAGGTCTTTTCAGGTTGTGCTGTCCTTTGGTGGCGTGCTGAGTCCTCTTGAGTTCAGGACTCACTTTTTCTCTGGCTGGGCCTGTCTCAAGTATGCCCTTTCTTTAAGCTGAGAGGCTTCTAATCTAGGATAGTTTCAATCCCAGGAGCCATCAAGCAGCTCTTCCATCAGCCCAAGTGGGCAGTACCCAGCGAGGAGCCGTGATCTCCTGGGTGGTACCTTTTGTTTTAGTTACTATCCATCTTTCTATCATACCTGCATGAAAACACAGTTTTCTACTAGTATGTGGCATATTGCTGCTAACCTTCTCATTAAGTTGCAGTAAAGGTGGGAGGCAATTGCCTTGGAGAGGCAGAAGTGTTTAGGGTGTTCTTGCTGGGACAAGAACAAGTTCTTGCTGAAGTTATTTCTAGTCAAACCACCCAGCCCCTGAGCAAGGTGGTTTTTCCTCTTTTAGACAACTGTAGTCAATAACAGGATTAAGTTATACCAGATTTCATGCCTGCTTTATGAAGCAGTGAAGGTTAGAAGGTCAAAATGAAGAAGATAAAAGTGCTGCAGGACAGAAAAGAGTAAACCATCACTTTTTAGCAGAGGTTGCAATAAATTACATTGAATCCAGGGAGTGGAAAGCAGGTGAGACTTCTGCTAACAAAATCACCTGAAAATCTGGTATGGTTATGCAAGAGCTTTAAAATAATTGAGTAGCTGATCTGGTGATTCACCAATTATCATGATTCCTGAAGATCCACAAATTAGGTCATGCTTAAAGTTCTCCTGCTGTGGTTTAATGTGTAAAACCTCAGGTAAACCAACCTCTTCTATATTTCTTTTCTTTGAAAATAGAACTAGGAAACTTATGCCTCTTTAGACAGCCCAAGGTTATTTTCCTCTCTTCTGCCTTGTGGAAAAGAGAAATTGCTCAGCTCCTGGGTTAATGGGGAGGAAAGAAAGAAGCAGATGAAGGTGGGAAGGGTGCACAGAAAGAGCGTTGCCAGCAGTTGGGGTGTGTGATGAATGTGTGTCAGGCAGTAAAGACAGGGAATGGTGTTTAGCTGCTGTTGGGTGTTAGGACTTGGGGGTATCTAAGGTTTGGGACTCAAGGAGTTGGGTCAGAGCGGTCAGGTTTCTCAATAAAAAATAAAGCAGGAAATTACTGTTTACTCCTGTATGACTCTGTTCCTGCTTAGCAGGGAAAAGCAGAAGTGTAGGTTGGTGCTGATGAAGGAAGGCAAGTGCTGCACTGAATGTTTAATGTGAGAAAGCATTTAAATACAGGTTTTGGAAAGCTGGAAATCTTCGGGATTCAAATGGATGGGCTTGCTTTGGGAGGAGAAAGCAAATGCCTGGTTACTGCCTGCACTTTGAGCAGCTGTGGAACCCAGAGATTTTTATCTGTGGTTCTTGCCTTCCTAACATGCCTCCTTTGCCTTTTCCTCCTGTTATCTCCTTCTTTATTCTGCCTGCTGAGGGCAGTTTAAACTGAAGTTCAGGCTTAACTCCCTTTTCTTGTCTGTTCCATACATGAAGCACGATTCCTAAACTTTCCTGGAGCCCATTATACAGAGAGTTTTATTGCTCCATCTATGTAATTATCAGGAGTTAAGCTAATTGGAATAAAATTCTTTATTTTCTTATGCTGCCTAGGCATTTTGGCAAGTTATTTTGCTTGCAACCTTCTTAATTATTAATTCATTGTGAGATTAAGAAGTGTAATACATCAGCTTTTCTCTAATATGTTTTCACTTTTTCACATATTAATGAGCATATTTAACAGATTTCTTCAGAGATAATTGGTTTCTAAGTCTCCCTGTGGTAATGCATTCAAAGCCAGCTAGCAGTGCTGGCTAAAAGACTTTCTGCATTTGAATAATCCCACAATTAAAATAAGGAATTTATCTTCTGGCTGAAACAAGGCTTTTGAGGATGTTTTTATTGTTTTCAGGCAGTTTTAATACATGTGTTAACTGTACTTATGGAGAAGTTAACTAAATCCTTCCTTTGCATTTGTACCCAAGAACTCACAAAGGGGCACAGGTATCTCTGATTATCTTGTTCCTCTCATCCAATGATCCTGAAGACAGGATTTTTCTGGGCTTCATTTGCTTGTAATTTATCTGTCTGGCTGTTTTAATTCAAAACATAGAAGCTATCATTGGGTAAAGTATTTATCTGAAGGTGCAAATGAACTCACAAGTTTACGTAAACAATTTTAGGTCTGGAAGAGGAAAGGAAATGGAAGTTGTGAATGCTCCATCCCTGGCAGTGTTCAAGGCCAGGTTGGACTGAGTCTTGGGTGACATGGTTTAGTGTGTGGTGTCCCTGTCCATGGCAGGGACGCTGGAACTAGATGATCTTCAGGTCCTTTCCAACCCTACCTATTCTATGATTCTATATGTAGCCAGCCAGTGCATGAAAAGCACATAGAAATTCTGGGTCTCATTTTAAGCAAATCTTTAGCAATCGCAGACTAAGAATAAACCTAACAGGGAAATAGGGCAGGGAGGAAGGTGAGACGACATGATCCCACATTTACTGCTATGAAGAATTATTTCGTCTCCCTCTGAAGGCACCTGCTTTTCACTGTAAAGAGGAGGAATGCCAGTGAGGCAGGTCACTGTATGGCAGTTCTTCAACTCAGATGTTTGGGAATGCTCTTAGCTAACAGGCAATCAAGACAAAATCAGTCACACAGCTGCTGTTTGTTACCTCGCACCCAGAAGACTCCAAGTCCTGCTATTTATCTGTCATCAGAAAACAGGCTTTGTCTCTGCCTGCATATTCCTTGCCTTTCAACTTCTCCAAGCTCCAGCAGGAAGTGTCCTGCTTTCCCATGCTGGACACCACCAGAGGAAGCTGTGTATGTGCATGCACGGCCACATGTGTGCACACTTGCTGTGGGTGCTCAGGCCAAGTGTGTGCATGCACAGACACATGTGTGTGGGTTTGGTGTAGGCAGCCAGGATGCCATCCCTCCCATCAGGTCTGCTGTATGCACCCAGACCTCATTCAGATGGACTCCCTGAGTCAGCCATAAGGTTAGGAAAAATCAGCTTCTGGACAGAGCTCTGACCATGAACCAGCTTTTTGTGGTAGTGCTGGGAGACTGGGCAGGTCTAGCAGCCTCCTCTTCGATTTTCTTCCCTTACTGTCTCATTCTTAGGTTGGACCTACCCCTCCTGCCATGTGCAAGAAGTCTGGCTGGGGATGGAGGCAGCAGCATTTCACTTCT